GAGCCTGTATTAAGTAGATAGCCAATATTTGTAAAGTGAAAATTGCGTGGTGCATTTTAGTATCTTCAAGAAGAACAAATAAAAAATAGTATTTTTTATAGAAAATAATGATTTAGAAAAATAAGAATACAGAATTATCGTCGTTTTAACTCCAATCCAGCACTATAAATAGATGCTTGGTACTCAGCAATGTTGTTCCCTACATCACACCAAACCAAACCATCTCTTTTTCTCTCTTTTCTCAAAATCTTCTTGTTATTATTTTTAATAAAAGAAACGAAATTAAAGATGATGGTTACATTATTAAAGTACGTCCTCGTGATAGTCATGAGCTTGATATTGAGAGTCCTATACGACTCCATTTGTTGCTACTTCCTCACACCAAGACGCATCAAGAAGTTGATGGAACGTCAAGGAATCACCGGCCCTAATCCACGCCTCCTCACCGGAAACATCATCGACATCTCCAAAATGCTCTCTCAATCCGTCTCCGACGACTGCTCCTCCATCCACCACAACATCGTTCCCCGCCTTCTCCCTCACTACGTCGCTTGGTCCAAACAATATMGTACATGACCGGACCAATGTTTTCGAATATTCCGTACACAACATTTAAAATTGCCTTCTGTTTGTTACTACAAAAATAAATTTTATGGCCCTAAATATTAGAGTTCAAAATCTATGGAACTTGAAACTATAGCTTATTTTATATATGGTCTGAACCGGACATGCCAACAATGGACTGTCTACATACTTAGGCCATGTCGTTGCGGAAATGACGAAAATACCCTTTTGCAGGTAAGAGATTTTTAGTGTGGAACGGGACGGAGCCGAGGCTGTGCCTAACCGAGACAGAGATGATCAAAGAGCTGTTGACGAAGCACAATCCCGTCACCGGAAAATCTTGGTTACAGCAGCAAGGGACTAAAGGTTTTATCGGTCGTGGACTCCTCATGGCAAACGGCGAGGCTTGGCACCACCAGCGACACCTGGCGGCTCCAGCGTTCACACGTGATAGGCTCAAAGGATACGCGAAGCATATGGTTGAGTGCACGAGGATGATGGTTGATAGGCTGAGAAAGGAAACTGAGAAAGAGGTTGAGATCGGAGAGGAGTTGCGGCGGCTCACGGCGGATATTATATCGAGGACAGAGTTCGGGAGTAGCTATGCCAAAGGAAAGGAGCTTTTCAATCTACTCACTGTTCTTCAACGACTCTGTGCTCAGGCCACTCGCCACCTCTGCTTTCCCGGTAGCCGGTGAGTTTTCTTTATATAGAAATCTTTTTTCGGATCTTAATTGACCTCTCTCATTGATATTCTGATTATGCGATTCAAAACAATTTCATTAACAACACATTTATGCTGAATTGCAAATTATACTCAACCATTTTTGAATGACTAAGAAAAACAAAAAAATATTCCATCTAAATCA